CAGCCCGGCAGCATGGAGAGCTGCATGCAGCTGATAAGTCTGTTGTGGTGGACAGGGAGGTGGGAGGAAAGGGGCCGTGATTTGGGAAAGGACTTGCAGCCTATCCCTGTCTGGCTTGCTCCTCTTGCTGTAGCTGCTGGGGTGAGGGGACAGGGCAGGGTCAGCTGTCTTGCTGTCCTCATTCCCTGCCTTGCTAAGTCCTTGCTACCCAGGAGGCAGGCCAGCAGCCGAGCAGAGTCCTCCAGCTGATGGTAGTGTGACTTGTGGGAAAGGCAGGGAGTTGCCTTCAGCAAGCAGTAAATATTACACCACAGTATTCTCTGAGCACAGCTGGAGCTGCCTGTCTGAATACTCTCTACCAGCTGGCAGAGGCTGCTGGAGGCAGGGCGTTCCCAGGCTGCAGCTGCAGGAAGGTCTCCTCTACACCCATCTACTGTTTTTCAGAGGTGACAACATGGCATGTGCAGCAGACTGCCCACACTGGTGTGCTTATAGGTGCTTTGTGATTTGAAGTGGAGGTGACTCTTGCCTTATTCTGAAGCTCTGTGGGCAGAACAAGAGTAATGGTAGCACTGGTGCTCCTGATTTTTTTTTTTTTTTACTGTGGAAGCCAGTGGTCTGCATGGTCAGTTGCATGCCATACCGAAATTGTGACTCAAAAGAAACTTTGTGTTGGAACTTGCCCTTGCTTGTAAATGTAAAATCGTACCCCTTTTAAAGATTTCTGTATGATGACACAACTTGAGGGGTTCCCCCCCCCCCCTTTAAAGACAATTATGGCTGCAAAGGTGTTTGCAATGATTTCAAATAGTTTGGTCTAATCTCAAATTTATTTTCGGGGGGGGGGGGGGGATAGTGTTTTGTTTAACACTTGTTGAAAATGCTTTGATTTTGATCCAGCTGCAGTCTTCTGGCTTGATAGCCGTTAGTTTTACTTGATTATACACACAAATTAAATTCACCCCTTGCTTGCCAGTTTTGGCAGAGATTTGGCCCTGTCAGAATACAGGATGGGCAAGGAGTGGCTGATGCCATATAAATGGGAGTAGTAGCCATGGCCCCAGGCATGGTGTGAAATGGTTTCTTTGGGTTCCTATACACATGTGTGGAGCCTGCTCTGATGCAATGGAAATCCAGTGCATCGGAGCAGACTCAATTAATTGAGTCTGCTGGAGCACACAAACTGATGTGCTCTGGCAGCCCTGCGTCACGTGTATCCGCATTGTTGCACATCTCCACACTGCAGAAATGGCGGCAGGGTGCCTTGAAATAAAATATGTTCAATGAGCTTTAGTTCAGAGCACCCTGCCACCATTTTTTTTTTCAGCACGGGGACGCTGATGCACATGACACATGGGTGCTTCTAATTATTGCAGCTGGCAAATTAGAGTGCCTGGCGCTGCGCCCCACTACACATGTAAAAAATGCCCTTTGGGAGCAGACAGAAATGGCATTTGTTGTGGAATGGGCCCTTTTGAAAGTGCTTCTAAAGCCATGCCCAAACAGAAGAGCACGGCTGCAGAGTGCTCCAGTCACGTGACAAATTAACCCTTGTTGTGTGAGGGTTCAAATGAAGATGGTCCAAAGTGGAGCGCTTTCATTAATCCATCTGCCTCCGCTGCAGTGCAGCCTGGCCACAGCTGCTGTTCTCTGGATGGGAGTGGGGAGAAGGCAGGGAAGGAAGGTCTGTTATAGGGTTTTTTCAGCCCTGCTGTAGTGTGTGTGGGGGGGATTAGAGCCCCTCACCTGGGGGGTGGAGGCGGCTCTAATCTACCCACTCCAGTGGGGCTGAGAAGCCCAGAATTAGACCTCCCTTCTCTGCCTTCTTCCCCTCCCATCCAGAGACAGAAGCAGAGCTGCAAGATGCAGGATGGAGCTAGAAGAGGCTGTAGAGACGCAGCTCCTAATTGGAGCTGATCCTTCACCCTCCTGATCCATCAGCTAACATCCATTGTGTTGGGAGGATCAGTTTAACTCGTGGTGCTTTCTGTGAATTGCTGTGAGTTGGATCCAGGAGCCGCACTTCTGTCTGTACCCTTTGGATCAGCAGTGTAGTTTGAACACAAGACATTAAGGGTGCCTATACACATGCTCAAGGGTGGGGAGGGGCAGTTTTAATTAGCATGGTTTCCTGACAACCACTCTAATTAAAAACGGTCACTGTCACATTGTATTAAGCCCCCCTCCCCATGTTTTAAAATGCCTGCAGGGGTGCTTTAACTAAAGCTCCTTCAAGTTGCTCCTTCAAGGAGCTTTAGTTAAAGGGCCCCTGTAGACATTTTTATAGCATGGGGGAGGGGGGGACTTAATAAACATGATGGTGAGGCAATGCTGGGGCATTCTGGTTGGAGCACAGAGCAGACTCGGTTAATTGAGTTTGCTCCAACACATTCCAATTGGAACGCGAGCCAGCACATCTATAGGTAGCCTGAGTGCTAAGAGGGTGAGTTGTCATCGCTCTAAACAGAAAGACTAAAGCTGCCAACAGACATCACAGTTATCCTGGGATAAAACACTTCTATTTCAGGACAGAATGCAAACATAGACATCCATGTCTGTTGCACCAGGATAAATCCTAAAAACGTTTCCCAAATAAGACGTAGTAATAGTTTATCCTGGGAATATTGTAAAGTATGTTTGTATAATTAATTCTAGGATTGATTCAATGATGCAGTGTCTGATAGGCAGCATTGCATTTTCCCCTTTTTAAATCGAGGTTTAGTGTGTGGCTGAGTGTATATATGGGACAAATAGAAGCACAGTGTATCCAGGGATAAATGCAGTGTCTGTTCTTAGCTGAGGTAGATGGCTAGCTAGAAGCTGTATGAAATTTTCTTCCCTTCTGGAGGGAAGAGGACCTGAAGTAGGGGAATGCGATTCTGAAGTACTCTAGAATCTTGACTCCTTTTATAAGAGAGAGAAACACCACCAAGAAACTGTTTTCAGGACCACATGGTTCCTTTTCACTGGTTGATGCTCTTTTTCCATTAGTAGTGGTGTGACCTTGGGGAGTTTACAGCTCGTAATGGACTGTTTAGCTGGGAAATCCTCAAGCTGATTCTGTCTGCGATTTTGTGCACGTGGAGAAATGGACCAGAATTTAAGCTGTTATAGGTTCTCCTTGTGTATACTTGTACAGGCAACCCTCGCTTAACACTGTTTCGCTTAGCACTATTTCACTATAACTCTCGCTTTATATTGATACTTGATTCCACTTAGTGCTTAACGAGTTCTCTTATAATGCTCACGGGCATCGTACAGCTGACAGCAGTACACTAGCGCCACGGTGCATTGGCAGTATGCAGCCTCACTGTGCAATTTAGCGCCAGTTTGTCACCTTCTTGGTTTGTCAAAATTGGTTTCACTTAATGCTATTCTGCGTAACATTTGGTTTTTTGAGAACCAATTAAGACCACTAAGCGGCAGTTGCCTGTATTACTGAATGGATCACACCCTGCCTTTTTTATTTGTAGAATGACTTTGTAGACCAGTCCTGAGATGCGCATTGAGAGCTGGAGCTACATGGGTAACAGAATACTTTGAATTCAAAGCCATGGATCTTCTCAGTGGCTAGTATTGGATTAGCTAGGGTCACAAAGGAGAGCATCCTCTCCTAAAACTTATCTGATGCATTGTTAGAACTTGGTTTCAAGTTCCTGCAGAACATGGTGCCTTGATAATAAGTGATCACTTCAGGTTCTCTGCACTACAATCTTCAAGCAAGAAATAGCTCTTTTAATGAAGTGGCTGGAGAGGCAGGGCAGGCTCCAAACCTTATGGACCAGCTCTCCAAGCCAGGGGATGCTTGCATCTTCTTGCTCATAGTGGTCACTTTGTACATACTCGGATTATGGAAAGTTGACTGTTTTCACTGACACTTGGCTCCTGTGCACATGCAAATTTTTAAATGCAGACTCTTTACAACTTGCTGTAGCACTTCAGAAGTGGATTCTGGAGGTGACATCACTCCTGAAGACTAATCTTGAGAAATGCTGTTTCTCCAACTGTTCTTCATCTCTGCTGTGTCGGAATGATTTAATCTGTAATTACCCAAGTTGGTGGGTGATGCTTCTCGAACTGCCAGAGCTCTAGAAATTAAGGTGCATAGGAAGAAATGGCGTATGCTCTGTTGTCACCACTTGGTCCATACCAAGATGTTGATTCTTCTTGTGAAGATTTCCAAAAGATTTTAAGGCTTTGTTTTTAATGCCATGCCGTTGCTATGGGATTCTAACTAGATGCTTATAGGTTTGACATGAGCTCCACTTGTTCACCTCTAAGCTATTAAAGTTGACTCTTATGCTTTGCTGTGAGCTGGGAATTGCTCTGCCTGAGGATTGTTTGACCTTGACACATACCTTGCTAAACAATAGACCAAAAATGATGCCTTTCATTGTGCTGTCCTGTATTCTATATATAGTGTTTTAAGTGTCTTATGAACTGGTCTCGTGTTTGGATGACTGCACATGCTGTTCAAATCTTTCCTGCCAGTTTTTTGTACTACCCTGTGTAAAAGGGTAACTAAAAACGATTCTAGTCAAACCACTGCTAAGAACCAAAATATGCCTCTTCAGTTTAATTAGTGAGTTTGTTCAGGAATTGGCTTAAGCTAAGCTAGAGGGTGGTATCAGCTGCAAAGTATGCCTTGCCTGGTGTGAACTTTTGTGGCTCCTTGGCTGCTCTGTGGCAGCGGCCCATGTGCACACTTTTTTATCCTGTGGTAAATATGAAATGCCTTGCCCTGCTTTTGGTGAGGGGTAAAGTGTGAGTCAAGTACCAGTAGGTAGGAACATGAATGCGGGCACTTAAGTGAATCATCTTCATAGCCAGTCTTGCTTCATGATGACTTGCTTGTCTGGGCATATCCTAAGACCCTTGATCCAAAATGAGTGAGTCCATACTAACTTTATAAACTGGTGCAAATCCCCATGTCGCCAACTTGCTATTGTTCAGTACCTTGTTGCTTTATATAACGCCCCCACTCTTGTTTTTCCCTCTAGTGCCTACAGATGCTGATGGTCCCCTCTACCTGCCATACAAGACCCTGGTTTCCACCATTAGTAGCATGATCTTCAGTGAAGGAGAGGCCCAGCAACTCATCGAGATCCTGACAGAGAGAGCCGGTGTTGTCCAGGACACGTGGCACATGGTAGTATAACTCCCTAGCTCAGAGCAACTTGGCTGCTGACTTCTGTATGGTAAAGTGAGAGTGGCCAGCAGCTGCTTCATGTAGTTCTCTAACATCCTCTTGGCCCGAGTGTGACACGGGCCCATTCCAGGAGTGCGGGGGCTGGAGATCTCGGGCCAGAACCTCAGCTGGTGTCAGTTAGATGGAACTATAGAGATACTCGTGTTTAAACATCTGACCCACCTTCATAAGATGCAATGTATTTGGCTAAGTCAACTTAACAAACTTTCTCCATAAGCTGCCTTTTAAAATGAGAGGATCACCTTGTCTCTTCTAGCAGGAACTAGAGGTTGCTCAGTGGAACGTCCGATCTCGTGGCTGAAACTGAATAGTCTGGGCCTTAACTTTGTATTATGCTCACTGTTTTGCTAAAGGCTCTTATGTGACCTTGGGTGACAGTGAAAGGGAAATGTGGTGTTCCACACTCACCTATAAGGACCTTATTACATATTTAATTTTAGGTGGCTCCTAGAGCTCTTAACCATTGGATTGTCCACACATTAACACCTGAAAGTAGACTTAAGCACACTTTTTTAGGCAGCTCAGTTATGCCACTCCAAGGCAGGCTTTGTCTCTGATCTGTGTTACCCAGCTTGTGCTCTATTAATGTGTGGCCACTCCCCACAGATGAGCCGTCCAAGTTGCAGACCTTCAGCATGCCAGGATGCAGTGTGTCCTCCCCCACCCTCCTGTTCTGCATGGACAAACTTTCCACCCCCTAAACTCTCTTGCCTAGGGGGTGATTCTGGCACCAAGCCAACTCTGCCTCCCACCCCTAGGTGTGGGACCTTCCCACCCCCAGGTGTGCAATCCCATGCAAACAACCTGCAGAGCACATAGGAGCTAGCCAGGTCACAGGGTATGGATAGGTTTGGGGGGAGGGTAGAACAAAAGGGGTCAGATCGGGTCCCCATGAGCTGTGGATTCCTTCTCTGGACAGGGGCAATAGCTTCCGTAAAAGTGCCTTCCCTCACTGCTCCCACCTCTTAGCCACCCAGGGAAGCATGACAAGCAACCCTAAACCCACATCTCAATTTATTAAAACATGAGGCCTTCTTTGATTTTACTTTTCTCTCTCTTATTTTTAGATTCTCTTTTATTTTAACTTCTCTTTATTTTATATTTCAGCAGCTGACTTCCTTCTCTTCACCATCCTTCCCCCATCCCATTTTCTTTCTACCTCACACTTCATTACCCACCCATGTTCCATTAACTCTTCACCTTCTAGCTTCATGCTCCTGCCCTCTCATCCCACTCCCTGCATCTCTTCTACACCACTACCTAGTGCAGGGTTAGAAGCCTGTCCTGGCTCACCCGCTCTGTAGTGGCAACTCGCAGCTATAGCTGATAGTCCAGTGCCTGCTTGCCAGCCCTCTTGTAGTAAGTCACAGCTGTACAGATGGGGGACAGTCAGAGAAGGGTTTTAGCCCCGAGGTGTGACTGCTCCCAACTCCAGGGTAGTCCTTGCAACAGTCTACATTTGAGCAACTCAGATGCTGAATGTGTAACAATCCTAAGAGCATCAATCTAGGGGAGGCAGGGTCTAGTGGTGAGGAGACTGGATAAGCGTCCTGAAGACCAGGGTTCCTGCCATCTTCTAATGGCCAAGCAGAGCTTGAAATTCCCCATGTGTGGAAAATGGAACCAGTGGTTCTTTGTTGTGCTTTGCCATCTGTGGATGAAGTGCTCTGTGCTGAACTGTTTGGTGTTCCTTACACATGCTTTGTCATGTTGTGGAGTCAGCAGTCCTGAAGACCCTCTGTACTTCGTACACTTTCCAGACCTGTGTGGGTGGAAGGCTTCTGTAACTGGTCCCACTTTATGGGGCATTTGTCTGAGAGCCTAGTTCTGAACTTTCACTCCGGACCAAAATGCAAAGACTAGCTCCCCATTAAATGAGGAAACTTCGCATTGCTGTACTAACCCAACGCCATAGTCTTTTTACATCCCTGGTGGTAGGAAATTTTCCTCTTAGCTCTTGTGTTAAGCTATGGTCTGGCAGAAGACTTCTTTGCTCTGGCCAAGTGTGTACCTTCTCAGTGGTTCTACGCTGGGACGGGCAATTATTTCAGGTGGAGGATCACTTACTGAGTTTTGGCAAGCCATCAAGGGCCTCATGACAGGCAGCCAGGGGCAGATAAATATTAAATTTCTAGATTTTTTTTTTTTTTTAGGGGCCCTGCAGGCTGCATAGAATGGCCTGGCGGGCTGCATCTGGCCCGTGGGCTGCATTTTACCTACCCCTGTTCTATGTCATGTCTTCCCCTGGTGTGCATAAGTATGCTGAAGATGTGGACTAGATAGAGTTGTTGTTATGTGGCTACATACATGACTGAATAACCTTCAGTAAGAATAATTATAAATGGGCCCATTGCTGGAATAATAGATTGAGAAGGGTTTGTAGAATCTGTTCTGGGCACAGTGCTGTTGAACACTCCCTTACTTAATGATTTGGATGCAGGAAGAGAGCTTTCCTGTTCAAGTTTGGAGATGACCCAAAACTGGGAGAGATTGATTCTCCTACAGAAGATACGATTGGAATGGAGAATTGGGCAGTTGACAACAGAACAGAATTCGACAGAGGAAAACAATGGTGCCTTGCTTAAAAGGAAAACCAGATGCCCAGACAGAACGGAAGATGACTGCCTAGGTAGCAATGTAGCTGAGAAGGAGCTAGGAGTTGTGGTGGATCAAAGGCTTGACATGTTTCTGCAGTGTGGTGCAGCTGCTAAAAAAGCAAATAAAATTTTGGGCTGGGATATTGTCTCCTGCTCTCTAGCAAGGGGAAACCAAAGTAATAGGTGCAGCAAATCAAATTTAGATTACATCTCAGGGAGGAACTTCCTCTACTGCAAAAACTGTAGGATGATGGACCATGTTGCTCAGGGAAGCTGTAGAATCACTTTTTCTTATGAGGTCCTTAAGAGGAGGTGTTCTTGACAGGATGGTCTAGGACAGGGCCGGGCAGTTATTTCAGGTGGAGGGCTACTTACTGAATTTTGGCAAGCCATCGAGGGCCACATGACAGGCAGCCAGGGGAAGATAAATATTTATTTTCTAAATTTTTTAGGGGCCCCGCGGGCTGGATAGAATGGCCTGGCAGGCCACATCTGGCCCCTGGACTGCATTTTGCCCACCCATGGTCTAGGAACAGCACATTCTGCATCTGTGCAGAGGGTTGGACTAGATGGCCTTCAGGTCCCTTCCAGCCCTGGGGTCTGAAGATGGAAGCATGTGTTCCTACGATGCCCTTATGAATAAGCAGGTTCTAAGAGAGCCTGTACAAACAGCGTGTGACCTCTTGTTCTTAGGCAACCCAGAAAGGTGACCCAGTTACTGTGCTGAAACGTCAACTGGAAGAGAAAGAGAAGCAACTCTCTGCTGAACAGGAAGACGCCTCTGCTGCCAAAAACAAACTGAGGGAGCTTAACAAGGTAAGAGGTTTGTGCCCTCTACATATCTCTGATACTACTTCTAACCTAGGTAGTTACACTGCTTTTCTCCCTCCCCCTTGATGTGATAACGGTATGATAACTGCCTGTCTGCTAGGAATTGCAGTTAATGATTTACCCAGTGGACTGGGCTCCACAATCTAGCTGATGTCTTTTATTTTATTTTTTTTTTAAACTTCTTTGCTCCCTTTATGTGAAAAACAGTTGCCTGGTATGACACTGACTTGTATGTGGAGCCCACATGGAGAGTCAAAGCATTAGCCCATGCAGTCATGGACCCACAGCGCCATTGTGCTAAGCACTGTACAAACATAATGCCTTTCCGAGGGTTTATGTTAAGTTTAGTTCCAGTTGTAAAATGCAACTTTATGAAAGCAGGTTGTAAGGCGTTTGCAAAACCGCCCCAAGCGAAAGCTGGCAAAAGGGTGCACAATTCTTTTCTCTTTCCCTACAGAATTTGGTGGATGAGCACAATTTCATGTTTGCTAAGCGTGAGGGTTAAGTGCGGTGTTTATCCCCTCCCCCGTGCCGTTTGTCAGCTGGAAAAGGAAGTGTCTTTTGTACAAAAGGAGTCTACTTTTTGTTTTAACTTGAATTGGTAATTAGAGGTCAAAGGCTTCTTTCTTCCTCCCCCTCCCCTCCTTCCCTCTCCTCCCCCAAACCGCTACCAGTCATAATTACCCCTGGTTTTGATCTCTAAATAAAGACTTCATGAAGCCCTGCAGTCTCACGAGGATAGGAATTATTCCAAACTCATCTTTTCTCCTCGGCACCAAAGCTCAGGAACGGGCTGTTTACTGGCACTTTGTGGGGGAGGAAGGTGGAAAGAACTGAATGTACCTGTGTTCTTCTTAGTCATGAAAATTCCTTCCTGTCCATGTACACAGTGAACACACACTTCAGCATAGTGCCTGTGAAGGCAATCCAGTGTCCAAAAATATCCCTCTGTGGATGCTGTAACTTTTCCAGCCCCCTCTGCACACAAGAACCAAACTTAAATGTCTCCTCTAAAGCTGAAATCCTATGCACTGACATCGGCATGCCCCCACACCATGTAGCTCAAGCCATGATTTAGACCTTATCTAGCAACATGGGACTGGATGGGGCCTCCTAGGCCATGAGTACAGTTCCTGCATTTGAAAGCATCCACTTTACCTGAGGATTCCCTGAACTAGCCACATCAAGCCCTTGCATGTGACTGAAAAAAGACAGGCCAAGAGCACACCTGATCAGCATGCCTGATGTAAGAGCAGGAAAAATGAATATGCTACCAGTGCGGTGACACTTAGCAAAGGGGTGTCAGCTCAGCATCGCTCTGTACATCTGTCGTCTTCATTTTGCTACCTGTCCAGCAAAGCCTCGCCCTATCAGTGTTACAGATCTGCTTACAAATAACATGTGTTCTTGGGGGAGTGTAGCACAATGGGAAATCAGATGGCTGTAGGACAGAGTGTGCTTTCATTTAAAAAGCAGGTGGGAGGGCTTGACCACCTTGGACATGGGTATAATCAAAGGGCTTACTGATCTGGAGAACTGTAGGTTTCACACTGTTCTTTCAACTAATCCAGTATGGAACAACAGTGACATCCAGTGGCCACAGCTCAGAACAAGACCTGCAAGAAGAAATGCAAATGGTTTTATTGGAGATGAATTTAGTTCCCCATGGTGTGAAAGCAGGTGATGGTGCAGTGCATAAAATTGCTGAGTGTTTAAATGTCTCAGGTTATACAAGACATGTTCTAAAAAAAATTGCTGGAAACTAAGTGAAACTTCATCTCCTTGAAGGAACTCACAGCTGAGAAGGCAAAGACTGTCACTGTTGAAACCAAGCTGAAAGAGCAGCTATTGGCTCGTGAGCAAGAGATTGCTGCCATACAGGCTCGTATGCAAGCTAGTTACCAGGATCATGTGAATGAAACTCAGCAGCTACAAGGAAAGGTAGGGGGATTTGCTATACTTCTGAACACATGCTCCAGGCAAAGTCTGGAGGAGTTGAGAACAGACGCCCTTGTTGTGCTGGGTTTGGTGTGCAGCTCTGATCTTGGTTGCAGGCATAAGGACCAAGTGACTTTCATGCCTTTCTACCTTAGTTTGGCTGAGGCTCTGAACATGCATTTAAAGCTTTAATGCAATCAACCTTAGTCTGGCTTTCCTACATCTGTACATGTCATGGAGTACTAGGGCTTTTGTGTATACGTGGGTGTGGAGTGGGTTGTGGGTGGAGCAGGGGTAAGAATATCCTAACTGCTGCCAGCCTAACTCCTTCTGCAGAGCTATTTCTCTAGGTATTGTCTTGATGAGATGGAAGATGCTTCTCTTCCAACTCCCTATTGGGTTTTGATGCCTGATTATAACATGTGAGAGGCTTGCAGAAGGCACCTGCTCTGTGTGCATGATACCATATGCATCTTCTAATGGAAAACTGCTATGGGCTAATTAGGAGGGTAAGGGGTGGGGTGGTGGGGAGTTGGTATTTTGGCCTGTATGTAATAGGAGGGCTAACAGTGTTCTGCCATCCTTGACCTTCCAGATCCGGTCTCTTCAAGAGCAGCTGGAGAATGGGCCAAATACCCAGCTGGCTCGCTTGCAGCAGGAGAACTCTATTCTGAGGGATGCCCTAAACCAGGCCACAAGTCAGACGGAGAGCAAGTAAGAGAACACTTTCTGGTGGCTATAGAGCAGCTGGAGCCAGGAGTAAGTTTGGATTGTGTATAGGAAACTCTCCTACACATCACACAAATCCAGCCAAACCTGGGCACAGCCAGTACCCCTGGCAGGCCAAAAGAGCTCTGCTCCTGTAATGAGAAATGGGAACTGGAGGTACTTGAACTGCTTACTCCTGTGTCCCAGACACTAGGATCTCCAGTTGGACTACATCTCCCATAACGTACTGAGGACTGTGAAGCTGTTGTAATACGTAGTCCTTGGAGCATCACAGGAGGCTGTCTGCCCAGATAGGAAGGCATATCAAGGAGAACTGGAATGAATCACATGACCTACAACTTTCAGGATCTAAATTTCTCAAAGAAGTGTGTATTTTGGGGTGGAGAGGAAAACACATTGACAAGTTTTACTACTGATGGGCTGCAGAATCTTTGCCATTGTGCACCCTGCTAATCTGGTTCTGGAGGAGGTTGCTAGTTGACAGTCCACTATGGTATAATGTCCTCTCTAAGTGGGGGGTAAATGACTAGATTAAGGTCAGAGGGGTTAGGCCTTCTACATGTTACACTTCAAGCATGATTAGCCAGGTAATCATGCCTTAAGTTGTGACAGCTACACATTCAACCAATTAATGGCGAGATAAAATGAGCATTAAGCTGCAACAGTATTCCAGAAAAAAATGTGTGATAACTTTGTAGTTTGGTCTAATCATGCCATTAATTGAACATGTGGCCAGGCCCTTATTGTCACTGTCCATCACCTGATTTCAGTATAGCTCCATGGTTGACTGTGTCTGACATCTTGACTGCCACACATTCTTCTGTGAAATAGTAATCTAAGATGGCAGTCAAATGGAGTGCTCTAACAGTTGAGAGCACAGCTAAATCATGAGCTGTTGGAGGAACAAAGAGTGGATGAACTTGATCACACACTTTGTGGTAGTGGCTTGCAAAATGCATGCTTTGCTCCTTGGCTCTTCTGGTATCTCTTTATCCTCATTTTAAAATGGGCATGTAAACTTGCACACTCCAATTTCTTTTTTTTTCTTTTTTAAGCAGTTGTACAACTTTTAATCCAGGTACAGTTAAGATTCAAGAACCAATGCTATGCATTGTACAGATTTTTAAATTTTTTTTAATGCTGTGTCCAATAACCTGTCATTGTAAAGTAATTGTCTGGATTCTAAAAATGCAGTCTTGGATCTGGAAGCTTGTATCCTCACACTTGTGCAACTCTAAGTATGGAAATGTGTAGCCCCTGGCTGGAACACCATTTAGCAAAGAAGATGATTGATGGTTTTAAGAAGCTTCTCTCCCTTGGGGAGCTTGCATGTCCCAGAAAGTAGGGGGAAAATGACCTGTTTGCAGATAAATTTTGCATTTGAAGACTTTAAGCAGTAAAAATCCAGTGAAGTGTTGATTTGGGCAGTGTAGCTATCTGCAGCTGACTTGGAGAGGATATAAGAATCTGGGCATTAAAATTACTCTGCTCTGACTATTCAGGCAAAACGCTGAATTGGCCAAGCTCCGTCAAGAATGCAGCAAGCTAACGAAAGAGCTTTCTGAAAAATCGGAGACACTGCAGCAGGAAGAACAGCAGAAAAAGAGCTTGGAGGTCAAGGCTGCTGCCTTCGAGAAGCAAGTTGACCAACTACAGGTCAGCAATGCACCAATAAACTGCTGCTCTCTTCTCCCTTCCCTAGCTTCAAAGAGCTCTTGCTTTTTAGAAAAAAAAAAGTCTTAACTGCTACTATTGCTTTGACCATCTTTCTTGCTGTGTGAGCACTGGGCTGGATCTCTGGAGATCTGCCTCTGGCACAGTATCCTTGTGCAAATTTGAGCTGTCACAATCATACCATGCCTCTCTCTTCCTCTGTAAATTCCTGGATTACAAGGCCCAGGTTGCACATTGCAGATTCCTAAATGAGGTCCAGATCATGGCTTGGGCAGCATGTGTGGTAGGAGGATGGAAGTGCTTTCTTTGAGCGTATTGCATCACTGGCAGAGACTTCTGAAGCTGCAAAGAAGAATATTTTAGTTGTGTTTGTCCTAAGGCCTATTAAGAGCATAAGTCTCTGGTGTAATGCCAAGACTATTCACAGAACCTGTTACTAGCATAATGGAGGCTGGTGATGAATGGATAGATGACCCTTCCTGTGCCCCACAAGAGCTTAAGTTTTATCTTGTGGATGGTAACCTAGCCTGAGGGAGAACAAACTAAAAACCCAGCACGCATTCCTGGGGCTCAAGATGCTGTTGAAACTATGAGGTGGCTTCAATTAAGGACATGTCTGCAGCCATCTTGGATGCATCTGTGCTATACCACTGATGTGCTTGGGTAGCAGCAGCACCAAGATCAGCCTGGGCTAACTTACCCTACCTTGGCATGAGCTCGGTGTTGTTGTGGATGGGCTGCTACGGTATCTGTTCAAGGTAGTTTTTAAAGCAAGCTTTGGTCTTTCCTTGTCTATATCTGTGCTTCTAATAATGGATTTAGCTGTAAATGGCCGGCCTTTTGTAGGTGTGTCTGTATGCAGGCTGCCATAGTGTACAGTGAGGTGACACCATAGAGGTGGCAGATCTAAGAGTTGCCATGGTACTGGCCATTCATTTAGCCCAGTATCCTGGCAGTGGCCAACTCGTGGATGCCGCTGAGGAACCTGCAAGGTCTGTAGAGATAGCAGAAGGTCATACTCCAAAGGAAAGCTTTCTTCTTCAGCCCCTGGCTGCTAGGTGGCTCATGGCAGGAGGGTTTATAGTTCTTCCAAAACTTTTAAGTAGGTTGCTTTTTATTTCAAGAAAGTCTGTATCCTTTAAAAAAAATCTATATCCATCTATTTTTCCACTATGACCCCACAAACTTCTGCTACCACAGCAGAAAGCAGATCAAAGTGGACTGTTTTGAGGGCTTGATTTTAAAAAGTGATAATCATATCCCTGATAACTGTACTCGCTCTATATTTTGTCTATAGGGGAATCTTGAGACATTTGATTCCACAAATACAAGGGACACGAGGGAGTCCCTGCATGATGGGAGTGGGTAACTGCCTCTTACCCCTGTGACACAATGGTCCCTGACCTTTGAGCATATTCTTCCTGGTCATAGGATCCCAACTTCTGGGATTCTGTGACCTAGAGAACGTTTTAACTCTTCTACAAACCTTAGTATTCCTCAATTATCTCCTTTCTACATGTAGAGATGCAGTTGGAGGTCTTAGACAGCTCTTAATCCAAACTGTGTGTGTCCCAACACATGAGAATACATATCTGCACTCACTGGGACTGTTTGCTGTATGGTTAGAGAAAAGATCTAATTTCAGAGGGGACTGATTTGGATAGGACCACAGACCCTCATGAGATCAAACTGAGGATGAGGCAGATGCCAGGTAAGCAAGGACCTCTTGTCACATACCCCTGGCCTTTAGAGTCTGCTCCTAAAAGAGGTTCCAGCAGCATGGCTTTCCTGCTGCTGCTGTCTCCATGTTCAGTTGAGTGACAAGTACTCAATTTGAAGTACTTCAAAGGCCTTCAGCTTTTAAGAAGGTGCAACTTGGGGCAGTGCGAGTAGTCTGCAAGCATGATTTAATATAGGTTTATCCATACTTCTTACATAGAGGAGAAAATGGGTGAAATTCTCAAGAGATTTGAGATGCTAAATCTGCTTAAGCTGTCATAAATATGTTGCTAGCCTCTACTTGGGCAGCAGCTCTTTGTGGTGTGCTTTCTTTTTTGGTGCCTTTCCTCTGAAAGAACTTTTGAAGTCAGAACAAGGAATGTCTCTAAATCCTGACTTGGAACCAGTCACTGTAAGCACAGGACCAATGTGAGGGAGCGCTGACCGCAGCTCCATCTGCCGTAACTCTAGCCTGCCTGGCCGCTCCGAAAGGAAGAAAGCGATTTAATTTTCAGAGTTCCTCTCTTTCAGCACAATCATCACATTCCTTACTTTGCCTCTCTGAGGGGTGCGCCAAGGAGCATGCTGTTCCTCTGCCTCTCTTGAAGATGGAAAAACTCTTTTTTTGGCCCAAACCATGCAGAAAATCTCCACTGCATGAAACGTGCTGAGAGGAACTCCCTATTCCTGTGCTGCTGAAGTCTATAATGACTCTAAGCAGCTGAGTGCTTCTAACACCGGATAGCAAGCAAAATAAGCATGACTGCTTTACAGTAGGGAACAGATGCTCTTCCATGGGAACTCAGTCCTGGAGAGGTTAGAACTGATGGAAAGAGCATGGTGTGTTGTGTAGTAACTGGACCCTGAGTCATCAAGGTCTTTAATGTCTGTCCACCCCCTTGCATTATTGCAAGAGTGGAAGCCAATGGCAATCTTATATATGCTTCACTTCAGCTGAGACCATTGTGTGCTGAGGCTCTCACTAAGTAAGCAGCTGTGTTCCCTGCTTCTTGGAGGTTAGAGGATTGACTGCTGCTGTAACGGAGCTAGCTTTTGAAGTCGCATCCTGGCTTCTAGGCTTCTTTCCTCCATGCCTTTTTTAAAGAGCTGATTACTACTTTTTGGGCCTTTTATAAACAACCATGGCAGCAGTAGTCTACTGCCTGGGCTCCATCCCTTAGTCTCTGAGCCTTTCTGCGAAGAGGCAAGTGAATGCCCTTGCAGGGTTGCCTCTGTCCTTTTATTCTAAATAAACTTTCTAGCTCGCAGCAGCTTTGGTAACAGCCTCTACCTCAGATGAAGGGCTAGCCAAGCTAAAGCTGAGCAGCATGCTGATCTCACATGCACACTGCTGACACTCACTCTGGGGGTTACTGTGATAGTGGAGTATGTTGCTATAAGGTAGTGGTTTTCAAACCGGGGTTCCACAATAGGGTCACTGGGGGTAACGGCAGAGTGGGACGGGAGGCAGTTGCCACCATTGTGAGGCTGGGTCATCTGGCTCTGTGTCAACCTTGAGGATAGAGGTTTTGCAACAGAAGTGACCATGTCTAGGGCATTATGTCTTTGTAAAATTACTGTCAACTCTAACAGCACAGGGGTTTAGATCATGGATTTGTATAGGATGGTTTGGATAGGAATGATCACGCCTCAGGCAGAGGGTTGAACTAGATGACCTCTGGAGATCCCTTGTAGCCTGATGTCTCTGACTCGATGATATGAAAGTGTGCCATGACTTAAGGAAGTTTGAGGGGAAAAAAACAAAAAACAACCACTGCTCTAAGGCTGTGTGTGTGCATGTAGCTTGTTTTGGGGAGTACAAAGAGTGAACTTGTTATGGGTGGCTGGCCCCACGTCCCTTCTCTTAAACACACTTTTTTTTTTTTGATATCCTGTTTTTCCCTTTCCTCTCCTGAAATGAGAAGTTCATGGAGAAGGACAGTGACACTCAGAAGGAGGATTGTTTTGGCATGTTCCATTTGTAATAGATGCATCAGGAAGTGTGTACGCACAGTCGCCTTGTGCATCCCTGCCATAAATATTGGGTAAACAGCGTGCACACCTGCATGCCAGTTTTGTCCATTGAATTATCATGATAGTAAGCAATCTGATTAGATATCTGCATCCTCATCTACTTGACTTGTGCCATGGCAGAATGTATGTCCAGCTTGGATCTGGCCCAGTAATCTGTCCTACTCAACCTAGGGGAGAAGATGTGGTTATGCATAAAAGGGAGACTTGTAAGGGTACTTAACGCCAACTGATGACTTCAGCTGGGGGGAGAAGTCCTCAGAGCCCAGAAATGAGACAGGGGGGTGTTTGTACATCTCCAGTCCATGCTTTATCAAAACTAAAACCAGAGGAATGAAATTGTCCTGTTGGAAGTAGGAGGTTCTTTTTGCCTAGGGGATGCTGAGGGAAGACTTGCTAGTTTTTTGAATACCAGGTTGGCATATAGAGCGATACATAAAGATTGATTTCTTCAGGCTGGCCTTGGTGTCCAGGACCCTCTCTCTTTCTTCCTCTGGGCAGACTTACTTGCTCATTTCTTTTGAATGCCAGGTTGGTGTGGCGCTAGACATAGAGAATGATCTTTCCAAGCTGGTTTTGGTATCTACGACCATCTCTCTCTTCCTTCCTCTTGGCAGACTTCTCAAAAAGAAACGGAGACAGTGCTGCAGAAGAGGCTGGATGAAGTAAGTGAAGAGCTGCGCAAAACCCAGACCAGCTACAAAAGCCTACTGACCGACACAGAAAAGACAAAAGAGCAGCAGCAGACCCTCACTGGTGAGACATATCTGGAGTATGTGTACTTGACTGACGTGTATTGCATTTCCAGAAACCAAGGCAGTTACTGACAGAAGTTCTGCTGGCAGAAAGCAGAATGTGCATCTGGTTCCCCTTGACTGGGATCACACCAGTATGTGAAGTGTACCCTGGAGAAGTCTTGGCTGTTGAGGGGAACCACTGTTGCTGGCAGAAGGCCCATGCAAATGTCTGCATGCACCTTTTTGATAGATGATGACAGAAACCTTGCTCTGCTTGGTAACTCCATTGGCAGACCACAGGGCTCTGCTGTTGCACAACTTTGGGTGTAGATGCACTTCAGTTCTGCCAGAAGAAGTTTAGTTCATGGCCTCTTTCAAAGGCTCAGGTTGGGGATGTCTAGTTTTGTGTTGTCAGAAATACTTCAGAAGTGCAGGAGGAGGTCTGAAGTGATGGTGGGAGAACTGGATGCATCTTGAGCACGAGAACAAAAAAGAGTATGGGTGGTAGCTACACTTGTGTTATCTGGACAAACATGGTCAGTCTGAAGAGTGCCCATCTGGGTGGGGAGAGAACAGGGACCTGACATGTTTGGAATCTGTTTGCTTAGGTCAAATTACGGGGGGCAAGGGAGATCAGAAGGTGCAGCTAGTCTAGCTCTCTTTGTATGTACATCTACCAGTTCCCCTACAATGTTCTCTGTGGGCTGTTTTGCTTGAAACAGGTTCTGTCCACCCTTCCTCCATTTGCCACCTGTGCACGTGCGTGGACACACTGTCCCTTTCTCTGTACGTGCCAGATGGGAGGGAAGGGCATTTGGGTGCTCAGGTTGGCTGACTTCTCCCTACTCTTGTTTGCTGTGTGGTAATGAGAGGCCATGGCTGTATTTGCAGAGCTCCTTTCAAGTGTGACTGGTGCAATCCTCCTCCTCTGGATGAATGTCCATTTGTTACTCGTACCTGGCATTCCTGCCCCTTGGTGCCTGTCCTTGTTCCTTGTTGGCTGCTTGTCATCTCAAACCTAATACCTCCATTTGTGAGGGCATGTGCTGGGGACCAAATCCTTGTCACTTCAAGTTCTAGTTCAAGCCCTTGTCTGGGGCCTTTGCATTTAGAGATGTATAACTTTTGGTGTTCTGTTTTCTCTGTGTGCCTCCTCCACTTCTCCCAACAGAGCTTCAAGCCAAGCTACTTTCCTCTGAAATGGAGACAAAAAGCAAATCCGAGGAGCTTGATGGTCTGAAAACAAAGCTGCTGGAGGCCAGTGCTGAGAACATGCAGCTCACAGAGAGGATCAAATCCATTGAAGCCCTCCTGGAAGCAGGCCAGACAAGGGAAGCAGAAGAAGATAAAGGCTTGCAGGTCACATGCTCTTAATATGGGGGTAGGGGTTGTCCCTCTCATAAGAACCCTCTGTACTTCAGTTGCACTTTGGGGGGGCCTGTTAGTATACAGTGGCTAAAAAAGCCCCCCCCTTTTTTTTTTTAAACTTTCAGGCAGCTAATCAAGCAGAAGTGAGCCAGCTGCAGCTAAGGTAAGGCTGGTGGGTGCACCAGTAGCACTGTTTTCTTTCCATGTGCTAAAAAGGGTTTGAAACATTAAAAAAGGAAAGAGTTGAAATGCCTTTTTCCCTGGCTTTCCTGGCTGCTGTTAATGTGTTGACACTCTTGAGGCAAGGACAGCCTGCACACTATCATTAAAAGGCAAAATAAAATTGTTAAGTAGGCGTGCACTTGGTGACCCCATGGTAAACCCAGACTGTAAGTTTGAATTAACTTCAGTGGTAGCCTAAAATAATAGCTAATCCATCCTGAAGTGACATTTTTATTGCAAGTGCATGTGAAAGCATGAATACAGAAGACCCAGAGTTCCTCTGGAATGGGCGGTGGATGTCTGTCTTTTTTTTTTTTTTTTTTTAATGACTTTGCATAGCTGCAGGATATGGGAACAGAGGTGGATGTTTGTGTCTAAGCTTGTGACAGTTCAGTTAGCTTTTGGCAGCCAAACAAAGCAGTTTAAGAACTAGACATACAATGCTATCTGTGGCAATGATACAACTGTAAACAAGAAATGGACATGCTGTGTATTTCCCTACAAAAGGGTAACTTCCTAGAAACCAGTATAGGCTTCTCCTGGGGAAATATCAGAAAACTGACCTGGTTTGGATGGTGTGTCCACCTTTTCTGTCCTGGAACTGTTCACCCAGTTGAAACAGGTCATCACCTAGTGACAAGATGCTGTAATAGCATCCTCTGTACCAGCTACCCCAAAAGAACTGGTAGCGTGTCTGCTCTGCTGGCAGTGTTAACATGCGTCTGGGCCCTTAGTAATGTAAGAGAGTCTTAAAAACATTAGAATAGACTGCAGACTTTTTTGTGGAGATGGGAGAGGGAAACCCTATATTCAGGGACCTGATTGTGATTTCCAAGTCAGTTTTTTTTGAAAGAATGTGGGGTATGTGCAAATCCTGTCATAAGGTCTTGGGCTAGGGTTACTTGTTGGAAGCACTGTGGCGACTGGGATGTTAAACCACTGCATGTGCCTGGTCTGCACTGGAAGCTGTTGGATTTGTTTCGGATTAAGGGGTCTTCCAGGACTTCTGCCTCTTTGGAGAGAACATGGTACAAGTCCTTTAAATGGCAGTCAACTTGAAGCCTAGGCAAAGGTCTGTGAGATTTGTATTTGTACAGAGCAGCTGACAAACAACAGTATTTTAAATGCTAAGTGTTAAGCCCCTGCTTAAGTCAGCAGGAGTTTCTGGGAATACAGTACCTCTGAAAATGTTTCAGTGCTTAAATATAATCAGAGTGAGTTCTTTGGCTCCAAATTCTCTGAACTTCCTCAAATGCCTCAGTTCTTGAGTAGCCAAGCTGAGCTTCCACATGGGGGGGGCGCAACCTCTGGCAGGGAATGGCCACTGTTTTGGGAATTGAAGAGACAGCCACAATCTCTAGTGGTGAAAAGTTTGGGTCTTAATTTTTTTCTGAAGCTGCTCTCAATCATTTTTGCCCAGATAAATGTCAGGTAGAGAGTTGGGCTGGACCTAAGCGCACGCTAACCTCAAGATGTTCTATAGAATTCATGCGATTTTAAAACCTGTATCTTGACTGTGTGCGTTTCCTATTGACCATTTTCTGTATGAATTGTACACTTCTTTGTACACTTCTATCTGTACAAGAAAAACTTGGTACTCCCTAAATGCAGTAAGCCAGTGAATTCCCAAAGGGTATTTCATGAAAAATGTGTGGGATCAGACCCTTGCCCCACCACTCCTACATGGCAGGATTGGTCCACAGACTGGATTTGGCCCACAGACTGAATGAAGTATGCCATGAGTTTTAATCCAGAAAATGTACCCCAAATATCAAAAGTTTAGGAAGCGCTGCAATAAGCCAACAAATTGCATCCAGTGGATGCAGTGGCATGCTATCCAGTAATGAGGATAACCTTCCTGCAGTTTCATTTGGGGAAAGAGCCTTGCTTCTTCCATTTATTTCACTTAGGTGGCAAGAGTGTATTGTTGCTAATGCAATGTGACTGCACTTCCATTCGGATCCACAGTAGATGCATCTGTGGATGCATCTGTTCTGCAGGCAGATCTGGGTGGACTAGATCATGATCTTGTCTAGGAGAAAAACAGAAGGGCGTGTCTCTCTTTGCTTAATTCTCTCCCATCTATCTTTCATTTCAGACTCCAGGAGAAAGCTGACCAAGTCTCCTTGTTGGAAAAGGAAGCCATGGAACTAAAAGAGAGAGCTGAGCAGCAGAAAACAAAAAACAATGTGAGTGGTGACAAACCTGACTCCTTCCTCTGTCACTGAAGTAACTTTAAATGTGTTGGAGTATTGCTTTTCAAATCCCCTCTTTTAGTTTTAGTACAAATAAAGCTTTGGATTTTAGGAATCTGCTTGGTCTGTTTAACCCTACCCATGGGCAGTCTCTAGCCTCAAACAAAACTTTGCAGTGTAGTGAAGGATGTGAGAACTTTTTATTGCTAGGCACTGAGCTCCTGTTAAGGCATAGGGCCAGCAACGTGATGTCCTTGTTACCAGCTGACTCGCTACATGTGACCTTGTTAAATGGGGGACTGTCAGAGAGCAATGGAGGGACTTTTCAAAGCCATTTGGTACTGTACTCCTCTGGCTGGCTGGGGTGGAGAAGTACTCCAGCTAGCTCAACTGAATGTCTTCTCCATCTTATTGAAGGGCTGGAATGCTAGGGACACAGGTTAGTGTCTCATGCAGGAGAGGTTCATTTGCTACTGCTCTGAAATAGGCCTTCTGAAGGCCTGCTTCTGTGTATTCCTTCCCTCCACCCTTGCTGACAAAAAAACTGACCTGATGCATTCACCAGCCAGGTACCCCCTTCAAATCTACTTCTTATATTGGGCAGCAGGGCCAGTGAGTTGGCTTAATGGCTTGTCAGGAGGCCTGGTAGGCTGCATTTCAGTAACGATTTCAAAAGCAAGGCTCCTACCTGGGTGCATCAGACTATTGCAATAACTTGATTAATTAGTGGACAACTAGAGTATAGGGATTACCCTCTTTCCCCATCCTAGATCTTAAGATTCATGCAGAACAGGAGTTCTGTTTTGCTTGATAAAAACTCTCTTTAGAGCCACATCATGGTCTTAAGGAACTATAGAGCTGAGTAAGCTTTTTATGGGGATCTTATGTGCTCGTTGTGGCTCACTGTTCTGTACCTGTGGTCTCAACAGGACCTTCGTGAGAAGAACTGGAAAGCAATGGAAGCATTGGCTACAGCTGAGAAAGCATGTGAAGAAAAGTTGCTTGCTGCTGCCAAAGCAAAGGTGAGTCTTGGGTTTTTTGTTAGTAATGAGGGCTAATCAGCTGCAGGATTGGGGTCTGCCTTTGTCTTGGAGAACATTTTTTTGCAGTGTCTCTGACTGTACAGATTCTAGGTAACCTTTGCTTTTCTGAAACGTGCTGACCTCTTTGAGCCCATTCAGTAAACTTTGCTGTAATGATTTACTTTTGCCTGCTTCTGTGACCCACTCACTTGAACAGCTCTTTCTTCACATGAGGAACAAACAATGCAAAGCAGCAACGTTGGATGTGACCTTACGCTTTTTATAACTTTTAACCACCTGAAGGCTGACATCCTTTACAAATCTTGGTGTATCCCTGGTGGTAGCAGGGTTATTTATTGGTATATCTTGCAAATGCTTTTTTCAGGGCTGGAAGTAAGAGCATGCCAACAACCCTCTTATTTCTGTGCTTTGGGCTCTTGATTGGGAAGATCTTGTGGAATGAGTGCAAAGAAGCTTCCCAGAATGGTAGTCTGATTCCTTACTCTTCTTAATGGTGTGCCAGAGTTGAAACGGTCTACTTGTTCAAATCCCCTCTGTCCCTTCGAAGGTGGAAGTGTGAATCCCCAAGGTGAAGGCCTGCCCCAAGTTGGCTTTTTTTTGGACCTCAGTGAACTCTAAGCTGAATATCTGGCCCTAAGCAGGCTGCCAGGGAGGTGCTGTCTCGACAACTTTAGTTCATGAAATTCTCTTTCTCCTTCCAGGAAGAGTCAGAGCAGCAGCTTGGTGCAGTTCAGGCTCTCACACAGCAGACATTGCTTTCTGCTTTCCCAGAGGTCACGGTCTCCTCACAGCAGGTAGGCGATTTGATGTTCTTGTACAACTTAAAGATTCTTGTTGGCATCTATGGGCAGCATTGTGCCCAGATGCTGTGATTTTATCTCTGCTTTGTTAAACCTTAGACTTACAATGAGTGGCTGCGAGAGTTTACGGAGAAGACTCTGGAAATGCTGAAACAGCAGATGGCAAAGACGGAATCAGTTGTGAGTAAGCTCAGAAATGCCAGGCAGCCATGCTAGGAACTCCTTGATGTCCTGTGGGTAACTGGGAGAAGGCTGAGTAGCTGCTGGAAAAGCTCAGATGGGGAACCCCTCATAGTGGTAGCATGTGGATGTGTGGGGGAGGGAGTTGGAGGGGAACCCTGCAAAACTTCTAAATTTTGGGGTCTTTTCTTATTTCCTTCCAGGATTCAGCACTTAAATTACAAGAAGCAGAAGAAGCTCAGAGCACTTTACAAGTACAATGTGAACAATACAGAACCACTCTTGCTGAGACGGTAGGCTAGGTCCATGGTGCTACTTCTTTCTCCCCTCCCCCAGTGCCCCAATTGAAAAGGCTGTTAGGGAAGCAAGATGAACTTCATGCCACCTCCAAAGATGCTAGACAAGCAGTGTACAGCATCTTGCAGCACACTCTGAAGCTGCTGCACAGACCACTTGCAAATGCTGGTGCCTTTATTCTGCTTTCAGACAGCAGCTGCTTATAAGCTGTCTTTTAGCTAGAAATGCCTCTGGAAATGCTGCTGTGCTGTTAATACATCATCATCAGTTTCTTAATTTCTTGTAAGAATGTCCCTCCTTCCCCTGCTTTAAACAGCCTGCCCTGTAGAAGTCTGTCTTTTGCTGCTTAAAGTCAAGTGAGCTCTCACTGATGTCAGTAGGAAATAGCTGAGCCCATAACTAATTGCCTAAGCCTCCCTGAGAGTTATGAGGAAAAGCTCACGCTGCCCCTGTTAAGCCTTCTCTTCTCAGCAGCCTTTCCTCCTTCACACTCCCTCTTCTCTGTGGGCAGGAAGGAATGCTCCAAGCCCTACAGAAGAGTGTGGAAAAGGAGGAGCAGGTGTGGAAAGTAAAACTAACAGTGTCTGAAGAGGAACTTCAAAAGGTATGATCTGAAGACTCTCTTGTATAGCTGACCATAGCAACCTGGCTCAGTGTAGTTGGATAGATTGGGTTACTGGTGTATCTACTTTGTAAACTGAGCAAGTGATCTTCATGATCCCATCTGGCCTTTGCCTGAAATACAGGGGTTGGGAAAGGGAGGCAGTAATGGTGACTCTTTGGCCTGTGAAAGTCTCCTCAAAGCTGGAGTCTCCTGAAGTAGCTGAACCGTGTAGGGCACAGGGGATCCCTAGAATGAAGAAACCTCATGATGATACTGAAGACAGCATGGACAGCTCTATTTCAGGGAAGCTCACACCCAAACTACCCCACTTGTCGCAGCTGGGTGAACAATGTGAGTTCCTGATTGCAGGGTATAAGAAGTTTTTGTCTCTGGCTTCGTTCACTTTGGCCCTCCCACCCATGTTGGTGGAGAATCTCTTCCTCTGCTCATTCCTGGGTTTTGTTTAATGGAGAGTCTTCCATTATGCTCTCTCAACTCCTGTTTCTGGAGCTGGTGAAAGCGTATTGTTATTTACCCTCCAACATTTGGATTGGAGCATGGTTTTTAAGGAGCTGCCTTTCTGATCCCAGAATACACACTGATCTGGAGTCTAGAAGGCCTGGAATCCTTCTGTCCTCTTGTTTGAAGATTGAAGCTGAAAGAACTGGCTAGGTCAAACCAGACAGTGCACACCCCTCTTAGCTAGGCTGGCTTTTTCCCTCTGCTGTTTTTTTTGAACACCATGTTCAGGAGAGACAGTCTCTTCTGAAGTCTGGCTGGATGTTGGTGTTGGAGCATATGCTGGTATACTCCAGAGGAGTTGATGTCCAAACCACATGCTCTGTGTGCAGTCCTCTGCAGCAAGGCCAACAGCTGGAGACGCAGGCTTTGCTTGTTTGGTATTAGCTGCTGCCTGCTGAAGAATAGCTGGAGATGGAAAGTGAACAAACTCTTGTGGCTTAGTTGGCATTCACGAGAACTGGGCTGGGTGGCCTAAACTTGGACCGTTAATTTTTTTTCCCCTTGATCTAAATAATATACACTCAAGTAGCTAGTCACTGGAAAGTGACCTAAGTGCAGCACTTGGGGGTCTGTGTGCATTATCTGGGTAGCGTGTCTTTACTTTCACTCCAGTGATAAGCAGTATAGGTGTCCTGGGCTCTTCTCTAAATTCCCAGCTCTGTGAACTCTTCCACCAAAGTTTGAGAAAATCCAGCTGCATCCATCAAGTGGTGGTGTCTCATGAAACTGAGATCCTGCTAGCCACACTGTTCTGTTATGTCTCTGCATGTAATGAAGATAGATGCAGCTGAGCATCCTATGCCATGGCTGCTGTTTTGGAGCTGGTCAAACAAACTTTCCTCCCAATGGAAAGTCAGAGGTCTCCCTGAGCCTAGCAGCCCTCGAGGCCAGCATAGTTAAGGCACAGCTGTGTTTATAGACATTAGTGTGTGAGGGAGTGATTCAGCACCATTTGATATGGCTGCCTTTTGACTCTAGCTTGAGTGACATAGTACTCACTTACAGCTGGGTGGAGCAGCTGCCTCTTGTGCTAGTCCAGAGCAGGGCTTGAATTCATGGCTGCAGCATGATGTATTAACACCTTTTGTCACTGCGCTCCTTCAGCCCCACAAAAGAAAACTAAATTTCACTTTTTCAAGAGTTCTTCTTTTGGGGCTTTTTTTTCTAGTGAGAAGTCTAGGATTTCTGAAAAAATCAAACTCTTGGGCTTTAGATATTTTGGTGGGGTTCAATCAACAACTGTGTTTTGTTCAACTGGTTACTCTCAGCTGAGAACTGCTGACTTTACTGGAGGCTCGTTTCTTAGAATTCATAGATTTCATAGACTTTAGGGCTGGAAGGGAACCCACAAGATCATCAGGTCCAGCCCCCTGCCCAAAGGGCAGGAAGTCTGCTGGGGTCAAATGATCCCAGCAAGATAAGCATCCAAGCATGCCTTTAAAGGTGTCCAGAGTAGGTGCTTGCACCACTCCTTGGGGGAGTCTGTTCCAGACTTTGGGAACTTGTATGGTAAAGAGGTTTTTTCTTATGTCCAGCCTAAAATGGTCTTCCCAAAGTTTGTGACTGTTAGACCTTGCCTTGCCTTGGGGTGCCCTGGTGAACAGAGAGGGGTGGAACCTTACTTGTTTCAGATTCCTGGCTGGGTTTTGCCTTCTCCAGTTAAACAGCTTCCCTTTGCCTAGGCACTGTAAAAACAACAAAAAGACAGTCCTTGTAACTGACAGCTATTGACACTTCCTTTCTTTGCAATCCTTTCTCTTTTGGGTGGCAATGCTTGGTACAGTCGCGAGTTCAAGTGCAATCTCTGGAAGAGGCTGTGGAGAAGCTGAGAGCAGAGCTGCAGAATGCAGACCAGGTATGGACATCTTGCTGTAGCCTGAAGGAAAGGACTCGTGAGCTTTGACTGGCATCATCTTATGCTCTGCACTCTGGTCTGTCTTGCCCTGTGTGGGGTACTTGCTAAGAGCGGTATGTTTTGCAGGGAGGCTGGATTATAACTCTTTTTTTTCCCTGGAGTAGGTTGGAAGATCTACTCCTGGCTTTCAGAGCACTTTTTTTTAGCAACCTCTTGGGTATGCAAACACCTGAACTACTGCATCTTGAATAATTAAGTATTTATTTGCTTCAATCAGGTAAAGGAATATACTTCTCTTCTGGAAGCACAACTGAAAAATCACTTGGAAACTGCCAATTCAGAACGCCAGAACTACACAAAGGAAGTTGAAATAGTAAGTGGTGGTTAACTCTTTCTGGGAAAGCGAGGGACTGTAAATACAAATTACTTAAAATTAGTCAAGAGACTCCACTCCTCAGGGCAGTGTCCCAAATTAAAGTACCACACATTCCCAGAGTACCACTCTAATCCTCTCTCCTTGCCCTATCTCCTGCTCTGCTTTTTGCTCCCTGCATGATCTGCTGTTCTTACTGTATCCTGTCCTATCTGTCACTGTTCTACCTGCTCCCTCCTTGATCCGTGCATGCCATACAGAGGCTGCCGGTGCCTCTTGTGGCACCTGTGCTGCAGGCTGGCCACCCCTGGTCCTGGTATCTCAAGCCAGGCAAGGAGGGGAGGGGTAGAGAGCGGGAAGTGGAAATTAATGCCTGTCTATGTGTATGCACTTATCGTTGTATTTTCAACCCTGTAATAAGTTACACAATGGAGAAAGCAGAGGAGTTGAAAAGCCATGATTCATTCAGGCTAAAAAACCATGAG